TTAGGGCTGGGGATTTAGCTCAGTGGCTCCGCTGCCTGCCTTGCAAGCGCAAGGACCTGAGTTTGATCCCTGGTACCAAAAAAAAAAAAAAAAAATTTCTCCTTTATACACAAACTGGAATCTCACCATTTAGTCCATTGCTTTGACAACTAACTCATTCTAGATAAAATTAAACATTTCTTCGCCAGCTTTTCTACAGTATCATATAGCTATTTTTGTTCCACATTCATCACACGACAGTATAATTATTTATTTACATGTCTGTCTTTCCACTATGCCTAGCTCCTTGCAGTAGAAACAGCTCATTCCACTACATCCATTTTAAAACTTCACCACCTAACACAGTCCCTGCACGTAAGAAGACAGTCCAGGAAGTTTGCTGCATTTGTTCTTATGATTGGGACTCTTGCATTACCCTATTCAGTTTTTTTTCCCCCATACCAGGGACTGAACTCAGAACTTGCACTTGTGAGGCAGATGCAGCATCACTTAGCTAAATCCCCAGCACCCTTGGATTCAGTTTTTAAATTATCATGAACTAGAATTAACTTTTCATTGCCCACACAACTCCAATCCTAAAAAGAGAAGCAAATACATGCAGTTCGAAACTACAAGTAATTTACCCCACAAATGGTTAATGTAAGCAAAGAATAAAATTAATCACACTGTACAAAACATAGCCATGTAGAAAGCAATGCCAAGATAATGACAACACAGCTTTTGGATATTTTTCTTTCTTCTTCTCAAAGTGAGTGCATTTAAACTGTGGTCATTCATCACATTTATCAAATGTTCATGGAGTTGAAATGTTTGAATTTAATTAGTCTGTACCTAAACAATGAATTGGGACAAGGGTACATTATAGAGCAAAAAGGGTTAACAGGATGTTTCAATATGTAAATAGGGAAGGGTGGAGGGCTGAAGGCCACACAGGTAATGGGGAAAAAATAAGAACCAAGATACATCATGTACAGGTACAAGCACCCAATGATAAATGTAAACGTATTGTATACC